TTTTCTGTGAGCCGCCCTGAGTCCCCTCAGGGAAAAGGGCGGCCTACAAATGCTAATAAACCTAAACCTAAACCTAAACCTAAGTGCAACTAGAAAAGTTTTTCTTTTTCCTCTCTTCCTACAGGGGTTGAGTATGGAGATGTACTGCCAGATTCCTTCCCATCAGCACCTGCAGAGTCCCTCCCCAATTTCCTCTTGGAGCCACAAGATGCCTACATAGTGAAGAACAAGCCGGTGGAGCTGACCTGCAGAGCCAACCCAGCCACCCAGATCTACTTCAAGTGCAATGGAGAATGGGTGAATCAGAATGACCATCTCACAGCAGAGAGCCTGGACGAAGTCACTGGTGAGGAACCTGGGCGAATTAGTCCATTTCTTATATTCTGTTTGAAGGGTTTTTTTCCCCCACCTCCCGCTCTCTTTTTAAAATTTGTGGATTTGCCTTCTCTGGCGGTAGAGAATTAAAGTGGACAGAGCCTAAAGATGTCTCCTTCTTGTCCTGTGAGACTGGTTAAAGTTAAGAACTTTGGGACCTCGGTTGTGTGTGATTCAGATTAAGCTCCTATGAAAGTTAATGAAAAGTTCATCAAAGAAAGGAACAGCAGTGATGGGCAAGCTGCTCTGAAAAACAGCTGAACCCCTGTACAATTTCTTCATTGGGAAATTGGGTATATTCTAGAGGAAATTCTCAATTCATTCTTTAGCCAGCTATGAACATGTATCTTGGGACCCTTAAAAGAAACCTCTGTATTTTGCAAATCTTCCTTGAAAGATAAAAAGATGCCTAAATTATTCCTTCAAAAGTAGAAAGTGAACAAGCTGGTACAGAAGCTATACATTGACATGAAACAGATCAGTATATTCCTGATTCAGTTCGTCTTGTTCCCATTTTTTTAAAAAGATAATTATAAAATCACAAACATGGAAAAAAACCTCAGCCAAACCAGATTTCTATGATGATAGTTACACAATTGTTATAGATAGATAGATAGATAGATAGATAGATAGATAGATAGATAGATAGATAGATAGATAGATAGATAGATAGATAGATGGAGAG